AGAAAGACCAGCAACGGCGGGCACCAAATGCCGGCCAAGCCAAACTCCTGCCGGATCTTCCCCGTGCCCCAAAACGGGCGCACCCTAGACGGACATTCCCCGGGATGGGACGCCCGCTGGAGAACGCGCCTGCAATGGAGCGAATGTGACGCCCCGCCTGGGGCTGCCCCAGGAGATGCGCCTCACGGGCTGGTCCGAGTGGGGGGGGAGGGCTGAGCCCACTCGGGGCGCCCGGCAGCGCCTCCAAACGGGGACCAGGGCAGCTACAGCACCCTCCCCCACCCTCCCTCCTCCCCGGCCAGTTGCCGTTCTGCAGGCACCCCACTCAGCTTTCAAGGGGCAGGTCCCAATCTCCCCCTTGGTCCCCCCTCCCTCGGGAAGCAGCAGCGTCCCCCCCCCGGTGGGCCTTCCCCTCTTGTGCCCCTTCCTTTCCTAAGCCCCCCCTTATGTGCAGAAGCCCCTCCCCAAGGAAGACACGGGGGGAGGGGAAGGGCTCGACCCACAGCATCGAAGGATGCAAGGGATTCTGCCGTCCCAGGTGGGAAGCCAACGAGAGACTGAGTGGGGTGGGGGGCAAGGGGGTCCCAAGATGGGTGGGGGTCGCTCCTGCAAGGGTTGAACCCAGACACCAGTTGCCCAGCGCCCCCTCCTCTCCTCCCTCCCCCCTTTGGCAGCCCAGCCTTGACCCTCCCCGGCAGGGCAGGGGTTCCCGTCTCCTCCTTTCCCCCCCACACGCCCGGCATTGGCGGGAGCAGCCCCCTCCCCACTGCGGAGGCGGCAGCAGCGGCGGCACCAGCAACAATATCCGGGGTAATGAAGCAGGCAGAGCCAATGGCCCCCCCAGGACCACTTTCCCCCTACAAATCTCCCTTCCGCTCACTTTTTCCACAAGAATTTTAACACCAAACTTAATTGTAAAGTCGCGGATTGATTGGAAAATGCAAATGGCAATTTAAATGTAATCTAAGCTCCCAGCACGATCCCGGGCTCCCTCGGAGGAGGAGGAACAACCCCCCCCGGCCCAGCCTGCGCTGGAGCAGACACGCGCGCCACCCCCTGCCCCCCCTCTTTCTGGCAGGGCAGGGCTGGACATCCTCCCCCCCCCGCCCCCAGGGGGCTTCTACCCCACTTGCTGGGCCCACCGGGATGCGGGGTGGACGAGGGACAAGCATGCCGAGACAGACCTGGCCACGGGGACCTGCCCCGTCCACTAGCTGGAGACCCCGGTTTTGTAATGGGGGGAGGTCTTTCCCTACAAGGGTGGGGGCCACAGAGACCGGGTGGGGGTACCCAAGAGGAGCCAGTGGCCCCCTTTCCTGCCAGCTCAATTCCCCATTGAGAAAATCAACCCACCACCCAGCCAGGATGGGGTTCCAGGAGAGCCTCAACGCACCCCCGACTGCCTGCTGGGGAGGGGAGGGGAAAACAAGCCCCCCACTTTTTCCAGGAAGGGCCCAGTGGATCCCCCCTTTGTCCAGAGAGGCCTGGACCCTCCCCAGGGAAGACACCGCCACCGTCCCTGGGGGAGAGCAGAGGGGGCAGGGCCGGCTCCAGCATGGCCACGAGGAAGACCGAGGAGGGGTGTCCCTGGATCAGAGGCCTCCGAAGCCCCCCCCCCGGGCTGCGGTTCCCCCCTCCCCAATGTTCATGAAGGCAAAGCGAAGCGGGATGGAGGGCCAGAGACGCCCCCGCCCACGGGGGGGCGCCCGGCATGGCAGAGGCACGCCACACAAACACACACATGGGCACAGACGGGCAACGCATGGAGAAACACCAGGGCCCAACACGGAGGACACCTCTCCCCGCCCGGCTGGCCGCCCACACCTTCCCGGCCTCTCTGCTCTCCCCCCGGGCCCTGCTGGGCCCCGCCGCGGTGGTGGTGATGGGGGAGAGGAAAAATGCCAACCTGCTTAATGGGGATGGCCCTCCCACTTCCAATCGTGTCCGCCTTACACTCTGGGGGCTTCCGCTCGATGTCGGGGCCTTTCCGAGACTGGAAGAGAAGGAGAGACACGCGAGCGTTAGCACCCCCCAGCAGGAGGCAGGGCCGGGAGGGGGAGGCCCCGAGAAGCCCACCCACCCCACCTACCCACCCCGGCAGCCCAGTTGACACACACACGCACGCACGTCCACACCACACGAGGCCACGGGATGGGGTGGCAGAGACGAGAGCGGGATGGGATGGGAGCTGGGCAGCAGTGGCAGCCGCGGCGGCAGCAGCGTCAGAGAAGGCGCGGGGAGGGCAGAGGCAGAAAAGGCGGCGGAAGTTAGAAAGAAGAAGCACCAGCCCCTCCTCAGTCCAACCGTTTATTGGGTGAACACAACGGGCACCTGATACAAAGTCTTGTCGCAGAGGTCCCGGGGCCTGGCAGCCCCTCACAAAGGCGCATCAACATGGAAAACAGCTAACTTTATACACTGAGAACAGGCGGAAGACAGAGAGAGAGAGAGAGAGAAACGAGAGAGAACGAGACAGAGAGAGAGAGAAAGAGAGAGAACGAGAAAGAACTCGAATTCATCACCATCGTCCAAATAATTAGACGGATCAATCAATAAATAAAGCCGGGAATGTACAGTTCTGTCGTCGACGGTGCTCGAGACACAGCGGAGAGGATTGCGAGCGTCACGGCACGAGGTGCAAATCGATACATTCAAGAACCACACAAAAATGGCAGCAGGAGAGCGGCTTCCTCCCTCGGCCGTCCCATCGTCCAGCGGGGCCCACCAAGCCCTCCGTCCATCTGTCCGTCCGTCCCTCGAGGCAGCCGGCCGCTAGCCCGGCAGCTCCGGAAGGGCCCTCCTGTCCCGACCGATGGAGCTCGGAAGACGGTCGAGCCACGGAGGAAGAGGAGGAGGAGGAAGAGGAGGACGAGTCCATGCAGGAGGAAGGAAGGAAGAGAGGAGAAAGACGGCGAGCGAGGAGCAGCGGGCGCGCACGGCAGCCGCGGCAGCAAAGCGTCCCTTGGCCCCCTCCGTTGTCTCCTGGCACGTTCCGGCGGTCCCGTCCGTGTTGCAAGGTGGTGCCGCCGCCGCCAGGCGTTCCTCCGCACACCCGCCAGTCCCGGGGTTAAAAGTGCGGCGCTCGGAGGCTTTACGGAGGGGGGGAGAGGAGGGGAGAGAGGCTCCGGCGTGTCTCCGGGAGGCGGAGGAAGGGGACCCGAGCGAGCGAGCGGCAGGCGGGCAGGCCACTAATCTGAGATCAGTCCCAATGCCTCCCCCTGATCCGGCCCTGGAGAGCAACGAGAAGGGAGAGAATTGGTACCGAGCGGCCTGCGGGGAAGAAGCCGGGGCGGGGTGGGGAGGGTGGGGAGGCAGAGGGGTGGGGGTGGGGGTCTTCTAATTTGGAAGGACTTGGAAAGGCCGCTTGGTTGATGAAAAGTTGGAAACCGTGGCGCAAATCTGCAACATCGAGAGAACAGAGAGGTCGGCAGGTTAGAAAACGGAGGCGGGCAGTCGCGGGCCCCACGGTGGCCACCGTCAGAGGCAACGCAACGCCGTGCGTGTGCTTGTGCGTGTGCTTGTGTGTGTGCTTGTGTGTGTGGCAGCAACAGCAGCAGCAAACAGCCGACGCAGCAGCAGCACAGCACGGACGTCTGGCTCCCCCTGCTGGCCAGACGCCGCCGGCACCACCGCACCGTAGAGAGAGGGAGCCGTGCGTGGATGGGGGGGGAAGGAGGAGCCAGGAGGGAGAAAAGCAGCGGGGGTGGGGGGTGGGGAGAGGAAGGAGGGGGAGCCCCAGCCCTGACCCGAAGCCCCCCAACCCCCCTGGCCCGAGAGGAGGATAGCCGCTAGCCGCCACGTCGGTGTGCCCGGATGCAGCCGACGGACGTATCAGAGAAGCATCAGAGAAGGCAGGCTCCCGGCCACAAGCCATTCCAGGAGGGGGGGCACAGAGCCCCCCACTAGCAAAGCAAGCGCAGCAGCAGGAGGAGGGGCCAGTGGGGAGGGGAGGGAGCCGGGGGGGGCAAGCAGAAGCGAGGGAGGGCAGAGCCAAAACAGAGCAGAGACCCCAAAGCAGCCATGTATGGGGGGGGGGGGGGGAGAGACACGTTCACGCCGGAGAGCCAAACAGAGGGCGACCCCTCCCAGCGCAGCAGGGGCTGCCCTCCAACCCAGTAATGGGGGGGGGTCTCCTCCCTGGCCCCCATGTCTCCGGGGCACCTTTCCCTGCCCCCAGAGCTGGCCAGCCGAGGTCCCCCTTGGGAAACCGAGAGGACCCCCCCCTCCTTGGACCCAGAGCACCCAGGGGGAGGAGGGGGGGTGGTCTTTCCTACTGGGTCTAGTGTACACCCCCCCACACACGCAAACGGGATCGTTTAGCCTCGCTTCACCCCCCTCCCCAAATCCATTTGTGTACCCAGAAATCCAGTCCTGGTGGATGTCCTGCCGTGGGGTGGGTGGTGGGTGGGAGTTCACCGATTGGGGGGGGGTCTTTAAGGGGTGGCAAATCCCAAAGAGGGACGCCACCCCTCTCCCCTCCCCCAAGGCCGGACCCGAATCATCCCCCTCCACCCGGGCCCTGCCTGGGCGGACCCCATTTCTGTGGGAGAGGGAGCCCGTTCGTAATTGTGTGTGTGTGTGTGTGTGTGTGTGTGTGTGTGTTTGGGGGGGGTGTCAGCCACCAGGCTGCCTGCGTCCCACAGAGCCCTTCCCCCCCCCAAGCCCCCTACCGATTCAGGGGAGGCCGGCAGTTCACCCCGGTTCCGCAGCCCCCTACAAAGGGCAGAAACAGCCCTTCGGGGGGGCGGGCCTGCTCCCCCCCCCGAATCCCGGGACTCACTGTGAAGATGTTGGATCGGCGCTTGGACTGCTTGCGGATGGGGGTGGGGGTGTTGGAGGCGGCGATGGTCTCGATCCGCAGCTCCCGCTGGCTGATGCTGGGCGTGGAGGGCACCGAGGACGAGTAGTCGCTGAAGGCCCCGCCCCCGTTGGCAGCCTGGGCACACAGGGGCAAGCTGTGAGTAGGGGGGAGACCCCACCCCGGCCCTGTCCTTTCCCCGGGCGAAGACCCTTCCTCTCCCCCCCCCCGTTTCCATAATCCGGGACCGCCAGCCACTGTGCCAGCCGAGCTGCGCAGACTCGGATTTGGCACGGGGGACGACGACACCCATCTCGACAGTCCTAAGAGCCGCCCAGGGCCTATGCTGCTCTGCCCCTGCCACGAGCGGCAGGGCCCCCCGCCTCAAATGGGAGCAGGAATCCAGCTCCTCTCCCAGGAACCCCCTCCCCATCCTGGGACAGCGTTCCCCAAACCGGACAAGCCGACGCCACGGCGTTGCTCGTCTCAGACTGTCCCTCTGTTGAAGGAGGGTGGCCTAAACCAGTGGTGGCGAACCTATGGCACGGGTGACAGAGGCGGCGCTCGGAGCCCTCTCTGTGGGCACAGGTGCCGTTGCCTCCGCCCGCGACCCCCTCCTCACCAGCAGCCCCCCCTGCAGGAGAGTCGCCCCGAGCGTGGCCCACGCGGAGCAGCGCAACCAAGGACGTGGCAGCCAGGCAGCGTAGACAAGACACTGCCCTCACGGCCCAACACGCACAGTTGATGCTGCGGGGCGCGGGCAGAGGGCTCTTGGCTGCCACGGTGGTGCTGGGCTGCCTGGGCGATCTGCGGCGGGCCCTGGAGGCGGTGAGTGGCCCTGCGGGCGGGCGGAGTGGGGGCGAGGCAGGGCCACTTTTGGGGCACTCGGTCTCTAAAAGGTTCGCCATCACTGGCTTGGACGCACACAGGGCCAAAAGGAGGGACAGCGAGGGCACGCTGCCGGGGGGGTGTTTCCAAAGGCCCGGGGAGGGGAGCAAATTTGCGCGTGGCAAAAAGGAGCCCATGTTCCCGGCTGAGTGGCCGCCACGGCTCCTCTCCACCCCAAACAAGGCAGGGGGCGCAGTGGGGTCTGGGAAGCTGCAACGCGCCCGCCCCCCTGCCGGAACCAATTTGGGCGGCGGCCCCCCTTCCCCTCTAGGCGAGGGCAGGGGTCCCCCTCCGCTCAGCCCCACCTGGTTGATGTGGACGGAGGGCACGGAGGCCGCCGAGACGGAGGAATGGCTGGGCGAGTTCGGCAGCGACTTGCACGGCCCGATGGAGAGCTGCTGCTTCTTCCGCAGGGCCACCACCTTCTGCGCCACTGGGGGGGGGAGACAGAGAGAGGGGGGGTTGGGTGAAGGGTCCCGAGCGGGACGGCCTCCCCCTCCCCCCCACAGGTCCCCCCTCTCTCCTACCGTCCTGGAAGACGCGTTCCACGTTCAGCCCGTAGGTGGCGCACGTCTCGTAGTAGGTGCAGCGTTTCAGGTCGTTGGACAACTTCCTGGCCCGGGAGTCGTCGATCACCCGGGGGTTGGTGGCGCTGATGGCATCTGGGGGGAGGGGGGCAGAGGCCGCTGTGGACGCTGCTGTGAACCCGGGGGGGCTCTCTTGGCCCTGCCCACCCCAAAAAAGCAGAGAACTGGCCTGCACAGCGAGGACTCTGGGACACCAGCTCTACGGGGAAGGCAACTGCAGCCGGTTGAGTCACAGCCCCCCAACTGTCCCCCCCAGCTGGAGGAGGAGCAATGGGGTTAGGGGTTCAGGTCCTCAGGGACCCCCTCCCCGCATCCTGGCTGGCAAAAGGAGCCGAGAAAGGGAGGGGAGGGCTCAGACAGCCTTCCGACAGGGCGGAGGAGCCCCCCCCGTACCCAGCTCCAGCTTAGAGGGCGGTCACCCTCCCCCTCCCTTCCTGCCTGCCGAGAGAGAGAGAGAGAGAGGTCCTCGGCCCCCAGTCCGCCCGGCCGGCCCTGCCCACCTTGGGTGCCCACCAGCACCATGGGCACCTCCGACGTGTTGCGGTAGCTGCACAGGCGAAGGTAGTAGTTGTAGACCGTCTGGAAGCTGATCTCGTCCTCCAGGCTGAAGACGAAGACCACCGCGTCCACCCAGGCCGCAAACTGGAAGAGGCGGGGCAGGGAGAGGGTCTCAAGAGCCCGGCCGGCACTGACCCGGATGCTCCAGGCTGCCCAGAGGCGCCCCCGGGAGCCGGCCGGCGGCCGGGAAAGAGCGTGTGTAGCGCCGCGCGCCCTACCTGCAGCTCGGGCGGACCGCCCTCGTCACGGATCAGCAGCAGGTAACTCTGCCCGTCCACCACGATCTCCTTCTTGAATCGGCCGCCTGGAGGCAAGAGGGGAGGGGGGCCGAGGCTGAGTCTGCCGGACACGTGTTCCCCCCCACTGGGCCTGGGGGGGGTGTCAGACCCCGACCCCCATCCTCTGCTGGGGGAATCAGCCCCTTCGCCCGTAGACGGGCGGGACCGAGAACGCAACATCGAGAAAGCAGAATGCCCCCACCCCAATTTCTGGGGCACTTGCTGCGTCTTCTCTGGACCAGGAGCCCCCCCCCACTTCTTGGGGGGAAGAAGAGGGAGAGCTGACGGCACAAGCAGCCCCCAAGGCCCGGCTTGGAGAGGGTGAGATGGATGACCCCAGGGACCTCAAACCCCAGAGGCGGCCAGGCTGGCACAGAACTGCCTCTGCACG